GAACTTGATTTAAGGGAAGAAAAGCCCAATCGTCTGTCGTATATGTACGAAACTCTAATTTCATTTGGTTTTTCCTTGCCTTGCGCAGTTTAATTTTGTTTTATTTTGTGGAAATAGATTGTGAATTTATGAGTTGATTTGTAATCTTCGAATAATACCGATTTGAACCAGCAAAACAATCTTGTAGATCAATAGTGGACGGGCTTCACTGGGAGTACCTCCACTCACGTCTGATAATGACATGCTATAAGCTCATAGCATGTAATACAATAAATTCTGATTGCTTATTGTTCATAATAAAAAAAACTAAAATCATAATAAAGAAATTATTTGAAATTATTCTATTCGTACAGAATAGAGAAAATCCATTATTATTATCGCTTCTTTGGCCGGTTTTAATAAAACGATGCTTGCAAAACACTACCGACCAATCTGGACTGGCCATCTTGTTAGGTTGAGTAATAAAATATTCAAGTTTTTTTTTACAAATTACCTTAACTACATTAACGTTTCATTATTCTTAAAAACAGATGATTTTGACTTTTTGTCCATCAACTAAGTCGAAAAGTGCTATCACTTTAATGATATTCGTCTGCATTACTTTACATTTAAACCCTTGTGTGAATTATTTACCTCAATTCATTCGGAAAATGAACATGCTCTATATATGTACCCGTTAGTAGCTCAAAAATGATTATAATTCAGTTTGAACGTCTTTTTGTTTTCTGTACAATCTTACCTATAGGTGGTGTACCGCACAATTTGAGAAACGCTGATTTAAGTCAACAAAGTACGTAGAAATACTTGATATGACTTGTCTAAAGGAAATCGTTCAAGAATTTGCCATCTGAATAAACACATTTGATTCACTAACAATAAATACACAAACAATACGTATAACCTTCCAACAGCAACTCAAATATAGCAGAAGTTTATGGTCTACTTGACTGAAATTAATCATAGAAAGCAGAATTGACAAGGGTTTGTAATTTAATATTACAGCTTAATAAAACTTGAGGAAATGGTAAATGTTGTGGAAATGTCTAAAAGCAAGTTACATAATCCTCCCCCAAAGTTTCTACTGTGAATTCCACTACACACGCACCAACAATAAGGGATTTAAGTTATGTGCACAATAAAAACAAAACAGTTTAACCATCTTACATCTGTGTATCCCTAAACATCTTAATATGCTCATACTAACGTTCCAGACAAAGACACCTCTCGAAGTGTACATTTCGAGGGCCTACCTACGAAGTTTGAAATTAAATTTTTCTTGTAGAGAAACGTACAAAGGATTTGTCTCCTTTATTATTCCCTACTACAAATTTAAATTTCAAATGATTGTTATTTCAGCTCATCTCGTATTCCTTTGAATACGTGTTGTTCAAAGGTAGAAATGTGATTATTTGGCGAAATCGTAAATTGTTCTAAATAAATAATAGATATAATTCGTCTTACTCCTTAAAAATTAAATATTGAGGCTTATGGTTCTAAGTAATGGCAGTCTCGTAAATCACATCAAGTTAGTTAGGACGTGTAACATATTATTATCCCCTGTAGGCATTAATATCAGTCAAGCAAATTGTGCAAAAACCGTATTTTGATGCGACAATCTTAGGATTATTAATGTGTAGTCATCTTCGTCAGATATTTTCTAAATTGGCCGTTTGTTTGTTCGCGTTTTACAAATAATTTTCAATTGCCACGCATTTCAAACGCGGAAAGAAACTAAGTAAAAGACGTTTAAAATTTGCAAGAGAGTCTTAATTATCAAATAATAGCATAATAAATTAAAAGAAATAATAAAATCGAACAGAATCCGCTAAATTTATATTGGAAATCAAATTAGGTTAAATTAAATTATACGACGTTGCGTAAACCCACCATATAACTTTGGTGTTTCGCTTTCGATTTCGGCGATTTATTTTTACAGTCCGTATCTGCATATGGAAATATAGAAACAATTAACGCTAGAGATCTGTGAGCTTTGATTAGACTGTTCCATATTCAAAATTTCCGAGGCTTACCTATTGTATTATTTATGCATATTAGACTATTGAATGCATAATATACGTCGAAATGTCGCACGCAGAATCCCTTCGTTGCCCATTTATCCTGTAGAGGTCTGCCACAAAAAGGTACCTACTTGATTTACTTATTGTGCCAAAAGATTGAGGGTTTAGTCTAATAGTGCAGGGGTTAAGAGCCAAAATAGGTTTCAACCTTGCGCATTTTGTGATAACTTTATGAAACTTTCAGAGGATGTTCTAGACACCCAAAGGTTCAATTTCAGCTATGCCGCCACCCCCGCAACCCCGAACGGCACTTGCTATAGCGGGTTTCTTAAGCGCAAGGTAGCATTTCAATATCCGCCCATGAAATGGGCCAAAAATGTATGTCCAGGGTTTGTTTTGTATTTTCTTACATCTAGGAAGGTTGAAGGGAATTGTCAAATACCCAGGGAGAATTTATTTAGGGTATTTAACGTGGTTTGCCTATTTTTAAGGCGCTTTTAAGTGTAAAGCACAAAAAGTCTTCTAAAGTGCCTCAAAAATCATAGTACATTTTTAACGAAAAATGTTTAACAATTATTTAAAAAATAATTCGCCGTTATCAGCTTCATTAACAAAGTAAACAGAGTCGTCCCCTTGGTCCACAAATCCATGTGCGGGATTAATCTCGAAAAAATGCTGCGGGATCCCGGTATTTCGGGATCCCGCAATACCGGTATTGCATTCCCTAGTTTCTAGTCTATAACTTTTTATTGAGAAGTCTGATCGAAAAAGTATGAATTGATTTGGATTCTACGCACAAAAATTAATAAGAAAACGTGTTTTCCCGAGAAATTTTGGTGTAGTCGATTTTTGGTAAAAAAGGAAAATTATACACTGCCTTTTTTTGAGCCTCGAAGAAAAAATTGTCTCAGATCAACCCGGAAAAACATTTTTCTTATAGAATGTGGCCTGTAGAATCCATAATTTCAAACAGTTCCTAGATTGGGCTACAAGTTCAAGTTTCGAAATTGGTTTCTAGTAGGGAATGCAATCCCACAGCAAAATCTCAATCCCCGTATTTGGGGGATTGTTAGATGTTAATCCCGCGGGATCCCGGAATTTGCGGGATCTCGCAAAACTTTAAATAAATTGGCAATTAAGCAATTCTGTGCGTTTAACTTCTGTATTAAAATAAATCGCTAATTATCACAATATTTAACAAAAAAGTACCTCCGGCCTAACTTATAACTCAAAAAAGCCTTACCTGTAAAGCACAAAAAGTCTTCTAAAGTGCCTCAAAAATCGTAGTACCTTTTTAACGAAAAAAGTTTAACAATTATTTAAAAAATAATTCGCCGTTATCAGATTCATTAACAAAGTAAACAGAGTCGTCCCCTTGGTCGACAAATTCCTCAGTCCCGCAAATCCCGTAGGATCCCGCTCCATTTATATGCGGGATTAAGATGCAGCTGTGCCAAGTCCGACATGCCCTGCACCGAATTGTGCGACTGCGGAGGCGAGTGTTCTCAAGATAGGGTTCAATTAATTTAGTGCCGTAGATATTGTTAACTTTCCTTTCAGCATTGTAATGTCTCAATAAATACTTTAGAGCATAGTATAATATTCAATAGAGCAGCCAAAAGAGGTCTCCGTCACGATTTTACTGCCCGCACTGTTAAAAGCGCCTTAAAAATAGTTAAACCACGTAAAATACCCTACATAAATTCTCCCTGGGTATTTGACAATTCCCTTCAACCTTCCTAGATGTAAGAAAGTACAAAACAAACCCTGGATATACATTTTTTACTCATTTTATGGGCGGGTATTGAAATGCTACCTTGCACTTAAGAAACCCGCTATAGCAAGTGCCGTCCGGGGTTGCGGGGGTGGCGGCATAGCTGAAATTGAACCTTTGGGTGTCTAGAACATCCTCTGAAAGTTTCATAAAGTTATCACAAAATGCAAGGTTGAAACCTATAACCCCCCCACTATAAATATTTTTCACAATGTTGTCACATCGATGAAAAAATCAATTTTCGCAAAATTTTTATAGTAATAGTAATAGTACCAAGATATTGAACTTTTGTTCTTCGTGGAATAAATTAACGGTCTTAGTGTAACGGGATCATGTCTGACTTTTTTCGGCTTTTCTAAAATAACTCCCCAACGGCCATACTTGGGTACGTACAAAAGGGGTGCTGTTTGTACAGGTAGCCGTTGTAAATCCTTTCGTCGTCTAATTTGATATTTTATTTGGCCCCCTAGCATGTATAGTTTAGGAGATACACCAATTTAAAGTTCCGTGTTTTTCTCAGTTTTTGGAAATAATAGGTACAATTTTTAGCGCATTTTTTAAGAATTAAAAGAAATGTGGGGCAACTAATTTGTGTCAGATTTTTCATGCACATGTCTCTAGTGTAACACTTTTGAAAATGGGGTGAGAGAAAGGGGGTAAATACATAAATACATGCTACTGTGATGAATGGTCTCAATGAAAGGAATTAACTTTTACCAATCATAGTCGTCCTCCTCGACCCCTTATCGTGATCGATTATAATTACTTATATTTCAAGGGCGGATTATCGGGAAAGGGTACTCACAAAAGGCGATTGGGTCGTCTGGAAGAAATATATCCATTGGTTATGGCCAGCGATTATCTCGAAAACGGTTTGTCGGAGGAGGGTACTCTCCAACGCAAAATAAATCCTATGAAAGAGTGCAACAACATAAAAGATGGTTTATTTTTAAAAATTACTAAAACCACGAAACTTTAAATTAGTGTAAGTATCTTCTAAACTATACACATGTTAGTGGGCCAAATAAAGTTTCAAAAGGTACATTTATACACTACAATTTTGAATAGAACATGATTTCACCCAAGTATTATTTTTTGTAGTAATGGTAATGATGTAATATCCAACGGATTTTTAAATAATTACCATCTACATTTAATCAGTTAGTCCCGTGACCATTATCAGAATTGGAAAATAGCCTTTATTTAAAAATTTAGTTAGTTCTTCTTGAGTGTTAAATGCAGGTTAATACAACTCACACCAGTGTCGTGCGTGAAATCCAACTTCATCGACAAATTTCCCGCAAATAGGGATAACTTACTTTTGTATTGAGAAACGCTAATCTTCTTGCTTGCGTCACCACAAACTTTATTCTGAAACAGTTACGCTGCTTGACTATACCACGAAAAGATACTTACGGCAGAAACAGGACATTGCTTGGGTAGCTGAAACAAAGACGCCATCCTCGCATCCTTGTAATCCCTGAGATAACTGCAGGCATTTTCGTCACCCTCCAAAGTTGGGATAGGTGGTTTACTTACAATGTAGTGTACCTGAAAATTCATGAAATTGCGTTACGTATAATAAAGGGGTGCTGTTTGTACAGTAGCCGTCGTAAATCCTTTCGTCGTTGTAATACATCCTGACGGTATGACATAGCAATTGTTGTCCAGGACTAGATCGAACTTGTTAATTTTCACCAAACTGTTCGGGATACAGTCTTCGAAGCGATTAACGATTAACTTGTAACCGTTCTTAAAAATGAATCTATTTAGAGCTTTGTAACGTACATGATTTTCACTTACGCATCCTTCGACCGCCTCTATTACTAACGTAGTACATAGCATACATACGATGATCATTTTGATTGTGATCTACTTCCGACTAGCTTATTGACCAATTTTAGAAAATTTGTAATCGTTTCATATCGTTAAACAGAGAACTGAGTGACATTGAATGTCCATTGTTCGTAAATACTGTAATTTTCTAGCGGGATGTTCAGATAATAACAAATTGAGTTTTAAACCAGTAATTTGATATTGTATTTGACCCGTGATTTATTATTTTAGGAAATGGTGTTCGGTTTTCAGCATTGGCCGTCCAAGGAAAATTCATTATTGCACAGTTTTCTGTGAAGATTCTACAAACATGTTTTAAACAAAAAGAGAGAAAAAATACAATGTATCACTAATTATCTTTTTATTTTCTGTAATCGCTATCGATTTCGGACATTTACGTCCAAAAGGAATTATATAGATGCGCAATTTGAAATTGCATAATTACGTATTTTTTTTTTAATTTAAAAATTTTATTTAAACGAAATATTTAAAATTGTGTAACAAAGAAGAAAACAATAATTAACTATAACAAAAAAATTTCGTCGAACTGTTTTTCAGTTGGGAGAGTGCCCAGGATACATGCACTATTTCCACGTTGGATGGCCAAGGATATCCTTTGAAATAAAAATTGCTTAGCGCGTTTGTCGCCGGATTCCGCAATTAAGCTTTTGCCTATTTTATTCAGAAAATCTCGTGATTCCTTGCACCATGGTCCAAGTGTCTCGAAGGCAAGTCCCATAAATATATAATCTTTCTTTAGATCTCGATATTTGTTGTGTTTTTTTGAGCATGCCTCTTCTGCTGCAGCTCCGGCCCTTATTGAAGTACTTTTAATGTTTGTTTGGGATAAAGTGTCCACGCATGTACAGTCCCATGCAAGGGATTGGCCTTTAGACATTTCCATTATTTTGCGTAATTTTTTATATGAGCGAGTCGGTGGGACGTGGCATATGGAGTCAATTTCATGCATTACCCCATAAAAACGCATGCCCGATGCTGGATGCACCCCCAATTCACTCATTTGGCTCACAATCTATACAATAGGGGCAATTTTCTGGTTTTTTGTTAGAATTGTCCCATTTTCTGCAGGATCCTACACCTTCTGGTTGAAACGTGCATTTTAGATTTCTCATTTCTTTTCTTGCTTATTGAGAGATTTTCCATACAATGTTTCGTTTCCGAGAAATCACCATCAACTTAATTTTTTTATATACCCAGTAAAAAAACAGCCTAATCGTTCGGAAGCACCTATCTGCCAAAATTCCTGGAAAATGAAAAGTTTGTCCGATTCGGAACCAAAGAGATTCCATAAAGTTCACATTTAATGAAACCAAGTTCATGGGTTCATTTATTACATAATATGTGTCACAGGAACCACAAGTTAAAGGTGTAAATGTACTTATATAAAATAATAATAATAATAATACTTTTTATTTCATTAGGTTTTTCCAATAATTTACAAAAAAAAAGAAAACAAAACATTTGTATTGTACACTTAATCAAATAAGGATTCAAGCTCAGACAACTGATACAAAGCCAGAATACTGTTCTTCCGCATGAACCTAATTGTGAAATATTGCAGTAGAGTTGTGATTTTAAAATAGAGAGATTTTCTTATTATTTACCAAGCAAAATAGGGCGTTTACAAAAGTACAGAGTGACACGGAAGCGTTAGAAATACTTTTCGGTTTGATGTGTTATATGCTGACTGTTAATTGTTACACATACTAATCGTCGATCAATAGCCTTTCTCTAATTTTTGATTTTAACGTAGGTATGACATGAAATAGTGAGATCATTGATCCGAAAATGATTTACCCATTTCGCAACGTTGTAGGAGAACGATCGTTTGAAAATTGACTTGTAGTGGCCGGGAATTGTAATAAGATCTTTTTCCTTCGAATATTTTTGTATTATGGATATCGGTTCTAAATGTTACTTTGTTGGAAAGGTAAGGAGGAGTTTTATACTTTAAGATTTTATAATAAAAGCATGTCATATGTAGAACTCTTCTGTCAAACATTGTCAACCATTGAACTATTCTTCGTTTATGGGATATATGCCTTCCCCGTCGCACACCAAACATCAAACGTAAGCAGGAGTTTTGAACCTTCTGCACTCTTTTAATATCAAACACGGTTAAGCAAGGAGCATATAATACATCACCGTAATTAAGATGGGATAGTACTAGTGACTCACATAAAATTTTCTTGAGGTTTTGTCCAAAAATGTGACGATGTGAGTAAATTAGCTTGAGAGCACTGTAACTCTTTTGCAGCATATCGGTTACGTAACTCGTGAATCTAAGTTTGTGATCTATAATGATACCCAAACTGTTTACTTTATCTGTAAAAGTTAACCTAGGCCCACCCAATATTAACTGCAAATTATTCATAGCGTTAGTCCTATTGCGTTCGGAACCAAATACTATGGCCATTGATTTTTTAGGGTTTATTTGAAGGTCGTGATCATTGGATGTTGAAAGCAAACTTTCCAGATCTTCATTAATGAATGTGTTTACATCTGCCATTTGATTAGGAGAAAAAGAAGTCAGTAGTTGCGTGTCGTCAGCTAAAAAGTGACTTTTGCAAAAACGAATTACCTTATGAAACTGGGAGGTATAAACTGTGTAAAGCAGCGGCCCTAATATAGATCCTTGTGGAACTCCTCTAGTAAGTGCCAGGGATTGTGATGTTTTTCCGTCTATAAATACCCTTTGACTTCTATCTGACGTAAATGATTCTAGAAACAGCCGAGCCTTTTGGCTAAACCCGATGTAGTGTAATATTGCAACTAAGAGAAGATGACTAATCATGTCGAAGGTTTTGGAATAGTTAAGCAAAATTAAAACTGAAATCTTATTTTGGTCTATAGCAGCCATAATGTCATCAGTAATATCAGCTAGGGTTGTAATACAGCTGTATCCTTTTCTAAACCCCGATTGAGTTGGGGGTATAATCTCCTGCTTATCAAGATATGCTCTTATTTGCAATTCCATTACCTTTTCCAAAACTTTCGACATGACCGGCAAGATACTGATACTCCGTAGATGGCTATATTCTGTAGGCGAATTGATTTTTGGCAAGGGAATAACTTTTGCTTGTTTCCATTCACGAGGAAAGTATGAATTTTGCAAACATTCATTAACTATATGTGTTATATATTTGATAATATAAGGACAGCAATATAAAACAAGATCTACATATATTTAAACCGTCGGTACCAAATGCATTTGTTTTTATTTTGTATACAATACTAGTGACTTCCATCTCAGTAACCAGGTTGAAAGAAAAACTATCATTTACAGAACACGTGACATTATAGTAGTTAATGAGATTTTGTTGAGCTCCGGATATTTGTATTGTGGATCCTACAAAATAAGAATTCATTAAGTTAGGGTCCTTAAGTTTAGTGGGAATAGTACGACGTGTCTTGCTAGTATTTAGTTTTTTCAATTCCGCCCACTTCTCCTTAACTGTACTATTCTCTAACTTATGTTTAAGGTAGGCTCTCCTTTCATTTCTGATGGCATTTGTAGTGAAATTTCTTAATTGCTTATAGTACTCCCATTTCCCCGATGTTTTACATTTTTTGTAACTATTAAACGCTTTATCCCTTAGTTTCTGCATCAATTTAATATTTGGTGTGATCCAGGGTGAAATTTTGGTACAACCCTGCCGTCTTTTTAAAGGTGCATGATAATTAAACCAGGAGAGAATTTGTTGATTTAAAAGTGAAACTTTATCGTCAATATTTTGAATCACAAAAATTGAATCTAATTGTAATTTAGCGTCCTCCATATGTTTTTGAAATTGTTGTTTGTCAATATTGTGAAGCTGACGAAATGAAACAATATTGGGGGTTTCTGCTACAGGCTGGTCTACCTGTAATTCACAGAAGATTAAAAAATGGTCTGATATGTCGATATCAACAGTTCCAGAATTAACTACAGGATTGTCTAGGTTCAGGAATAACAAATCTATTAAGGTCGCCGAATCGCTAGTAACCCGCGTTGGTACGTTAATAATCTGTTTTAAATTAAAAATTTCATGTATTGCAATTAAATTATCTGCATTTGTATTGAATTTAAATAAGTCAATATTATAATCACCTACACATATAACATTACCTTCTTGTGGATATATATCCGCTAAAGTATCCTCTATGGTTGATAGGAACGATTGCATCTCAGAGTTAGGGGGTCTGTAAATCACACCTAGAACCAATGTCAAATTTGATAAGTATAGCTTAACCCATAAGTGCTCAATACTCTGGGTGACTTGATTAAGTATTAGTGAATAAGGAATATTACCTTTTAGGTAGACACCAAAATCACCACCTCTACTAGTTTGTCTATCTGACCGAATGAATACATAGGTATCGAGATTAATAGCGTCAGTATGAACGTTACCATTTAGCCATGTTTCTGTGACGCCTATTACGTCATACGAAAATGGTAAAATCCTTTCCGAAAAAGTCTGAAAATTATTAAGGAGCGATCTGACATTAATATGCGCAACACTAAATGTCATTATAACAATTTGCGTTGCTCAGAAAAAAAATTGAAAGTTAATTAATAATGCTTTATATTTCAAAGTTTCCATGATATGTGAATCTGTAGTATTGCCTATATTCTCATATTAACAAAAATATCAAACCGATGGGTAACAAATAGAAATTCTCTCTTGATAAGATTATACTTAGGTAGGTATGTATAATAAAATTACAAAAAAGAAAAATACGGAAATTCCAAAAAAAAATTATCTAACAGAATGTGTACAAACAAATATAGTAATTCAAGTGGTTTTAATAATTGAAATGTAGAAACCCCTGCTGCTTGCGTATTTATCAGTACGCGCTTCGACATCAATAACTATAACTAAAACGTAATAAATAAACTGTGTTCATTCTTAAGTAAAAACAAAAAATCACTGTAATGGTATCAAATATTAATAATTAAGAACTGGAAACGAATCCTCACTACTAGAAAGGCACGTTCAATCTAGACCGATATCATCGGCACTTCTAATTG